AGTTGCTTCTCTCCTTGATTAGTTTCCACCCATTGCTTCTTGTTCTACCCTCAGGTGCCCTGGAGAATAGCTTGACTCCCTCTTCTTTGTGGCAGCTCCTGAGATATTGGAAGACTGCTATCATGTCTCCCCTAGTCCTTCTTTTCATTAAACTAGATATACCCAGTTCCTGCGACCGTTCTTCATATGATTTAGTCGCCAGTCCCCTAATTTGGGATGGTTGAGAACTGACTCACATTTGTGACAGTTGCAGTGTCCCGTAGTCATGTGAACTACTTTTGCGACCTTCGGGCAAGCAAAGTCAGTGGGGAAACCAGCTCCGCTTAACAACCGTGTTACTAATTTAAGAACTGCAGTGGTTCACTTAACAAAGGTGGTGAGAAAAGTTATAAGATGGGGCAAAACATATTTAACAAATTTCTCACTTGACAATAAACATCTTGGGCTCAATTGTGGTCATAAGTTGAGGACTACCTGTATTATGCGAAGAAGCGCTTCCTTTTCTCTCGCAATGTTCAAGTCTTGCAATCACCTTCCCTGGGATTTCAGTCATGTTCAGCTCTCACTCGCCTTCTGTCCGAACTTTTTACAGAGTCTCAAGTCTTCTCACTTCTCTATTCCTACACCCTTAAAGACAAAACAAGAATGAAAAAAACACAATTTGGCTTTCAAAGTTATTTAGATCCAGAGTACATACCACAAAGCAGGGCAAGGTAAGTATAGGTAGTCCTCAACTTACAAGAGTCCATTTAGTGACCATTCACAGTTACAATGGCACTGATTTTTTTAAACTTATGACCGTTTTTTTCACACTTATGACCACTGAAACATCCCCATGGTCACCACATTAAAATTGAGGTGCTTGACGAACTGACTCATATTTATGACGGTGTCCCAAGATCGTGTAATCCACCTTTTGTGATCTTCTGACAGACAATGGGGAATCCAGATGCACTTAACAACCATGTTACTAACTTAACTACCCGTTGTCATAAAATGAGGCAAACTCACTTAACCAATGTCTCACTTAGCAACAGAAAGTTTGGGCTCAACTATGGTTGTAAGTGAAGGACTACCAGCTATGGAAACTAGTTTTCATCTGAACCGATTTCCCCTTTAAATTATAGTTCAGGGGTACCTGTGAACTACTACCAGGCCATGGCCTATTTGCAACTGGGCCAGTGTGCAAGCCGCTAGACTCAAGGAAGCACTGGGCGCCAGTGCTCGCAGCCCTACTCAAAGGAGCAGTGGGCACTTGCAGCCCCACTTGTGCAAGTAGTGGGTGCATTGGTTGCTCACACAAATAAATCTGGATGGGCGCACACCAGAGGTGGTATTCAGCTGGTTCGGACCGGTTCTGGTGTACCGGTAGTGGAAATTTTGAGTAGTTCGGAGAACCAGCAAATACCATCTCTGACTAGCCCTGCCCCCGCCCGCCCTGTCACTTCTCACGCTGTGTGGCTCCTTGCTTGCGTTGACCAGTCATTGTGGCTTGGTTGCCTTTCTACGCGGTGCCTGCAGACGAACTGAGAAGCCCTGATCTGCCTGCTTGGGTAAGTAAGCCTGTGAGTCGCGGCCTAACTAGCTTCCCCCCTGCCCCTGCCTTCCTTCTGTACTCCCCTCAACGCGGCCCCCGCCATGCTTGATTGCCCTTTTTGTGGGGAAGGGAAGCAGCTGAGCTGCAGCTGCCTTTCATTTGGGTGTGTGGAGCGAGATGGAGCTCCTCCAGCCCTTTCTTCTTTTCCCCCTTCTCTTCTTCTCTTTGTGGGCAGAAGAGTTTTCCCCACCCACCACTGTCCAGAGATGCCCTCGCTTTCCTCAAGTTCCCCAAGCATTTCTTTGCCTACCCGATGTGCAGCTCCGTCGTGTTTCTCGCAATCGTGTGCAGGGGAACCAAAGTTTGTGGGGGGCTAAAAAGAAAGTTCAACCAAACAATTCCAACTTCTTGTAAAAGAAAAAGATCTCGTGAAGTTGGAATTGATTTGAATTTTTTTTTTTTAAGCCCCACACAATCTTTTGTTTCACTGCACATGATGGCGAGAAACACGACAGAGCTGGACATCAGGTAGGCAAAGAAATGCTTGGGAGAAGTGAGGGTATCTGGATGGTGGTGGGTGGGGAAAGCTCCATGGCGCGGTTCTGCAGTGATGAAACGGAGGGGAATGGCCGTCGCGAGATAAAGAGGAACAAAACAACCCCATCACGCCATGCCCCCTCCTGCCGCCTCGCCGTGCATGGACTTTCCTTCTCCTGCACCGTTTCCCGTGTTGTCTGGGAGGCAGGCCGCTCATTCGTGCCACTTAACCCTAACCCTAACCCAAGCAACACAACATGTAGATATTGAATTTTTTATTCAAAATTTTTTTAAAAAGAGCAACTTACCCAAAATTAGGTGAAGGCAGGCAGGCCATGTGGGAGGCAGGCAGATTCAGGAGTTGCTCGCACGTTGATCCAGTGAACAGCATTGGGCCGTGAAGCAAGGCAGGAGAGCTGGAGGCACTCGGGAGTCGCTCACAGGAAGGTAAGCTGAAGGAAATTTGTAAATTGTATTGATTTCCCTTCCATAGGACTCACCGGGAAGACTGCATGGAAGGCAGGGAAGCATGGCGGGCCCGAGTGGAAGGGAGTAGGGAAGGCAGGCGGGGATGGTGGTGGTGGTGGAAAACTAGCTAGGCTGTGAGTGCTGCCTGGGATGGAGTTGCGGTGCCGAAGTAAGCCAGGCAAGCCCAGGGACAGTGGGGGTGGGGGAGAAGCTAGCTAGGCCATCGTGTGAGATGGAGCCGAGGTGCCGGCGCCAAAGCAATCCCGGGGACGGTGTGAAGCTAGGTAGGCCGCAAGCGCCGCATGTAATGGAGCCACAGCATCTGCAGCAAAGCAAGATAGGCAAGCCCGGGGACAGTGGGGGAAGGACCTAGCTAGGCTGAGAACGCTGTGTGGGATGGAGCTGTGGCACTGGCGGCAAAGCAAGCCATGCAAGCCCAGGGACCGGGGGATGAGGGGGAGGGAGCACAGTGGTGGCAGCAGGTAGACCAGCCTGGGAGTTAGGACTTGATCGGGCCTTGTGGCGGCAGCAGCTAGGCTGGGAGTCGGGACTCGATCAGGGCTTGCTTACAGGCTCACTCACCCAGGGAGATCAGGGGCGCGGTGGAAGGCAGGCAAGAATGGTGGACGCAGGCAGGCAGCAATGGTGGGTGAACAGGCGAGATGAGGTGACTGGGTGGAGCCAGCTGTGGCACGATTCGCTGGTTCTCCGAACTCCACAAAATCTTAACCGGTTCGCCAGAACTGGTGCGAACTAGCTGAATCCCACCTGTCATTAGGGCAAAGAAGTGATGTCAACTTGGACACACCCATCCAGTCACGCCTACAGAACCGGTAGTAAAATCACTACTGCGCTTATTCCTCACACAAACCCATCCTCTCACACATCCAGCACCGGCAATCTGAAAAGGTTGGCGTAAGTTGTTATAGTTGATGAATGTTTCAAATTAGTATTTTCTCCTTTCTGAAATTGCTTCTGGTGAAAAATCTGGTGTAATTGCTTCAACTTGACTGGTACTAAATTATATTTCTAGGGACAGCAACATCTACTTCTCCCTCTATCTACCTACCTACTGTATTTCTCTCTATCCCTCTACCTACCTATCTACGTATTCTCTATCTCCCTACCTACTNTCTGCATTGCCCATTTGGAGAGAAAGTGGAAATTTATCTTGGTATAATTCAAGGGAAAGACGGGGTCAACTGAAATCTTGCCACGCCTAATTTTCTGGGGTGTTGTGGACTGCCAAGCAGGGAGGCAGAAGGGGTTAGGGCTTGTTTTAATGTTTGGCGCTCTTTCAGTGCATATTTAAAGGTCTGTAGTCGAGTTTTTAACTAAGTTTGGTTTCTGATTTTTAGGAAACCATGCCTTCTAAATTCAGTAATTATGGCCAAACTTATAGGAAGATTGCCCTGGAATCCAATTGTTACAGGTAACCTTCCTCCATGCGTCCCTGAGGGATTTCTTATATAGTAAAACAGTGAATTAGAAATCTTTTGTTTTCTATCAATGACAGCCGAGCCACTATCTTTCTCCACCAGTAATTCTAGAAGCATCTTTTCTTCTTGCTTGTTTCTCAAACTTAGCAACTGCTAAACTTCAACTGCCAAAAACACAGTGGCTGGGGAATTCTGGGAGTTGAAGTCCATACAGCTGAAAGTTGCCAAGTTGAAAAACACTGGCTCCGAATGTTGTGTGAACTACTGAAGCGTGGCTTCTCAAGATACACTCATATACAGGTAGTCCTGAATATACAACAGTTCATTTAGTTGATTGTCTGAAGTTACAACAGCACTGAATAATGTGACTTATATCCATTTTTCACACTTATGACTGTTGCAATGTCCTGGGATCATCTTTTGCAACTTCTGAACAAGCAAAGATGATGGGGAAGTCCGATTCACTTAACCATGTTACTAACTTAAGTTAAAAATTCACTTAACTGTGGCAGGAAAGGTGGTAAAATGGGGAAAAACTCATTTTAACAATTGTCTTGTTTTAGCAACAGAAATTTGGGGCTTAAAATCACAATATGTTGAAGAACATAAAAGACTACCAGTACATTAAAAAAACTGCAAAAAGTATACCATGTTACCCCCAAAATAAGGCAGGGTCTAATTTTGACCCCCAAAATAAGTGCTTGGCCTTATTTTCAGCGAGGTCTTATTATTTTTCAGCTGTAGGAGGCAGTGAGTGTGGTCACCTCATGGCTGCTGATGTGTTGTGCAATGCTGGGCATGCTATTCTTTTTGTGGCAGCCATTAGCGTGACAGAAGGGACACAGTGGCTAGGGTTGCGAGAACAGCTATTAGGTAAGGGCATGTGGGGTGCATGAGGCATATCCCACCTCCATTTCCAGTCTTGCCTCCTCACCACCTATTGTTTGTGCGGCAAGCAACCAGAGGAAATGGTGGCGACCGACTGCGCATGTTTAAATATTATTTTGGGGGGAGGGCTTATTTTAGCACATGTGCTCAGAAGCCCAATTAGGCTTATTATCCAAGGTCTTATTTTCGGAGAAGTTGGTGACCAGCTTAATTTAAGGGTAGCCTAACTTTGCCCATTGCGTTAACCCAGTCACCATACTTTGTTAAAGTGACTTTTTAAAAATAGAGGCTAATGGAGAAATCATAATTAAATGGTGGTTTTAGGGTTTTTAAAATATCTGTGTCCAAGCTGCAGTTTCAAAGGGAGGCCATATGGTGCAGTTTGCAGTTTTAGAAAGGTACACATTCCTGAAAACTTCAGGGCTTCAAAGTCACAGAAGCTGCAAGAACAGAGTATTTTGAGATTTGCATGTTGCTTTTCCCAAATTTTTTATAGCAATAGCAATTAGACTTATATACCGCTTCATAGGGCTTTCAGCCCTCTCTAAGCGGTTTACAGAGTCAGCATATTGCCCCCAACAATCCGNTGAGATCGGGGTGGGGGAAGAAACGGAGAAAGAAGCAAGCCTCCGATCGTGTAAGCCTCCGATCGTGTAAAATATTTTCTGTATACCCCGCCCACGCATATAACCCGCAGGGGGGCGCTGCGCATGTAAAAACCGCATATAACCCGCGGGTTATATGGGTGAAAATACGGTATATGATATGTGACTTGTGTGAACTATGCCCATCTGATTAGATGGCCATAGTTAGATTTTAATCAAGGCATCCCATGAATGTAAGAGGAGTGAATTTAATAAACCACAACTCAATCTTGCATAAACAAGAACCCAAATCATAGTAAAACTACACTACTGCATTTTTCCCTAGTAAGCTTGGCTTAATACAATCTTTAAAATATGTGTCTTCCATCAGAAAGTGGGCTGGCTATAAACCAACTGCAAAATGCTGGAAATATATTTAAGGGTGCTGCCAGTACAGTTCTGTTTGGTTTTTACCATGAGGCCCAATTCCATCATCCCCCCTTCTCTTTTCATGATTTTTCATCATTTTCCACTGAGAAAACTTTGAAGCTACTACAAAGCTTGTTATTACTACAAAATGTTGGTTCTTTTAATAAAGCAGAAGTTTTTCTTTAAAATATTTGTCAGGGTTACTGTGGTGGGTATTACCTTAAGTGCCTTGAATTCTTAGCCGGAAATCTTTTATTTCAGAAGTGAATTTGATAAGGCTGTGTACTCTCTCCACGTCTCTTCTTTCTATACACCAATGACTGCATCTCAAAAGATAAAGAATTCTATTCTATTCGTCCTTAAAGTCTCCAACCCCAACTGAATACTTTTCAGAAAATTTACGAATAAGATATAGAATTCTTTTTTATTGGCCAAGTGTGATTGGATACACAAGGAATTTGTCTTTGGTGCATATGCTCTCAGTGTACATAAAGAAAAATAAAATAGAATACATTTATAAAGAATCATAAGATACAGCACTTAGTGATAGTCCTAGGTTACTAATAAGCAATCAAATTATATTAGGAAACAAATAAAATGATAGAGATTGTAAAGATGTAAGCAATATGGTTATAGTCATAAGTGGGAAGAGATAGGTACTAGGAAGGAAGAGAATAGTAATACAGTAGGTAATATTACAGTGTTGTGGGAATTATTTGTTTAGCAGAGTGATGGCATTCAGGAAAAAAATATAGGTACAGGTAGTCCTTGACTTATGTACCTCCACAACTGAACCCAAAATTTATGTTGCTAAACAAGACAAATTGTTAAGTGAGTCTTGCCCCACTTTACAATCTTGCTTCACATAGTTAAGTGAATCACTGCAGTTGTCAAGTTAGCTTCCTTATTGACTTTGCTTGTCAGAAGGTCACAAAAGGTGATCGCATTACCCCACAATACTGCAATTGTCATAAATGGGGAGCCAGTTGCCAAGCATACAAATGTTGCTCAGTTGACCACAGGGATACTGCAATGGTGTCACTGTTTTCAGTGCCATTATAGCTGAACGGTCACTAAACAAATTGTTGTAAGTCAAGGACTACCTGTACTCTGAATTCCTGAAGGCACCGTTATAGTATTGGGAAATGCAATTAACTGCAGTCCTGGTAGATCAGAAAAAAATGTCAGATTGAAGTCAGCTACCTTATTTAAAATGAAGCCAATTTAAATGTAATTTAGTTCCTGCTTTGGGGGTGTTTTTTTGTTGTTCATTTCCTGCTTTTGATTTCCTGGTGCTTCTGTAGTTGGCCATCAAGGCCAATCACAAACAATACATTATAAATCAATAAGGACAGGCTGCAACACTCAATTCATGGAAGGCACCGAATATAGGTAGCCCTTCAACTTACAACAGTTCATTTAGTGACGGTTCAAAGTTGCAAGGGTACTGAAAAAAGTGACATGACCCTTTTTCCACACAACCATTGCGGTAATCTGTATGGTCACATGATCAAAATTCAGACGCTTGGCAACTGACTCATACTTATGACCTTGGAGGCGTCATGTGATCTTCTTTTGCGATTTTCTGACAAGCAAAGTCAATGGGGAAGCCAGATTCACTTAACAACTGCGTTACTATCTTAACAACAGCAGTGATTCACTTAACAAATGTGGCTCGTAAAATGGGGCAAAATTCACCTAATATCACACTTAGCAACATAAATACTGGGCTCAACTGTGTTCACAAGTCAGGGCTACCTGTAGTAGGAACTTGAGGAGACCCTAACGAACCAATCTATAGCTAAATCAGAGGAGTAATTTCAGCATTCTTTTCAAGTACAAAGTAGGGTTCAACACATGGGACTAGTTTATTTCCCCAGCCATCATTCTAGAACCTGGACGTCTGGGAGTTGAAGTCCACACACTAGATTTTTTTCCCCCAATAATGAGTTATATGCCATAAAGTCGTTTTAGACTTCTAGCTATACCCCGTAAGATGCATTTTCTCCAGAATGATTAAATGCACTCAGCGGCTCTGCCACAGAATCTATTTACCCTTGCTGCTGCTTCCCTCTTTTTAACAGAATCTAACAGAATAATAACAAGAGTGGGAAGGGACCTTAGAGGTCTTCTAGTTCAATCCCCTGCTCAAGCAGGAGACCCTATACCAGTGATGGCTAACCTTTTTTTCCTCCGTGTGCGACACCTGTGTGCCTACACCCATAATGCAATGCCCCTCTCTCGCATGTGTACGAGGCCCCCTCACGCCTATTTTGGGCCTAGTGGGTCTCCCTGAAACCAAAAATGGGGTCTTGCCTCCCCCTACGGGTGTGCATCTCCCACATGGGTGATAGAGACCCAAAAATCAGCTGCCTGGAGGGAGGTGCACACACATGTGCTGGGTGACGGCTTATGTGTCCACAGAGGGCTCTGTATGCCACCTGTGGCATGCATGCCATATGTTTGCCATCATGGCTCTATACCATTCCAGATAAGTGGCAGTCCAAGTCTCTTCTTAAAAGCCCCCAGTGATGGAACCCCCACAACCTCTGAAGGCAAACGGTTCCCATTTCCCAGATCAGAGCCCAAAGTAGGACAAGTAAGAAAATATTTGAACCCCCTCCCCGCACTAACCAGCTTCCAAAAACACCCAAAAGCGATGCTGGATGTCTTACATTGCAATAAAATAGGAGGAGATTGTAAAAGTTCCTTCCACCCTCTTGCAAATTGAGATAGGGGAGGGGTTGGGTTGAGAATTGCGCTTTAAAACCCATCTCAATCCCAATGTGGAGGTGCAACTCAGCTGGAATTTTCTCTATTGTTTGTAATGTTAGCTCTAGTTGCATTTTACATTCAACCCCTCCCCTATCTCAATTTGCAAGAGGCTGGAAGGAACTTTTACAACCTCCTCCTATTTTATTGCAATGTAAGACACCCAGCATCGCTTTCGATGGCGAGATGCCTGACGCAGGAATTTAATGACTAAAAATAAAAATAAATTGCCTATACTGAGTAAACAGGGAGTGGATATGACCGCTAAAACTTGCTTCCCCCCCTGGCATTTCCTCCAGAATGATTTAATGTGCTCATTGGTACTCCCAGTTCCCATTCTGCTGGTTCTTTCCTCATTCCTTCCACCTTTCCCAAATCGGAGCTCAAAGTAAGACAAGGAGGGACTTTTAAAGAAAATATTTGAAACCTTCCCCCACCCCCAGCACTATTAACCAGGCTTCCAACAACGCCCCAAAAGCCTTTTAAAGATAAACTCGGCGTTTGTAAAAGTTCCTTACAGTATTTGTAAAATGGAGACGACGGGGTTTGGAATCGCGCCTTAAAACTCACTGCAACGGATTAACCCCAATGCGGCAGTTGCACCTCAGCTGGAGTTTTCGCTACTGTTTGCAATTCCGGCTCCCTGTATATTTGCATTTTACAATCCCTAGTTTATTGCATCGAAAGCCGCCCCGAGCCGCTTTCGACGGCGAGATGGGTGGCGTACTAAGGAATGCAATAAAAAAAAAAAAAAACTAAGAATAAATCCATTTCGTATATTGAGTAAACAGGGAGTTGGGAGGATCTGTAACCTTGCTTTTCTTTTCTGGCATTTTCTCCAGAATGATGCACGTTTAATATTTATAACGTTAGCTCTCTCTCTATATTTGTATTTCATATTGATAAAGAGAGAATATTTGTGGCTCAGGGTTGATGCGGAGTTTGCTTTAGGTTAACATCACCAATGCTAGTAGTCCTACTATTAGGACTACTATCACGATTACCAGCACTGATGATATTACCCAGTTTGGGTCGTGAAATGTCTGCAAGAAAACAAGCGCAGAGAGGAGAGCACCAAGGACTTTCATATTTCATATCCCCTTTTATTGCACCGTAAGCCGCCCAGAGTCGCTTTCCGATGGAGAGATGGGTGGCGTGGAAATTTAAGGACTAAAATAACACTACCAACAGCCCTTAAATGCCATTTTACAGCCCTCTCTAAGCAGTTTTTACAGAGTCACCATTACTGTATCGCCCCCAACAATCTGGGTCCTCATTTTACCGACCTTGGAAAAGATGGCAGGCTGAGTCAACCTTGAGTTGGTGAGAACTCGCAAAACAAATACATTTCCTACCCTGAGTAAGCAGGGAGTGGCGATGACCTCGAAGCTCGATTTTCTTTTTATTTGCCCCGCTTATGTGGTTTTGCAAGCGGACTTTCCCGTAACAGCCGAAATCGAAAAGGAAAGGAGCGGCAAGAAAGTTTCAAAACTTTTCAAGCCGGGGAAGACGGCCATGGCTGCTGCGGCCAGGAGTCCCCTCCGGGACCTCTACGAAGAAGTCACTTGTCCCATCTGCCTGGAGTGTTTCAAGGAACCGGTGACCATAACCATCTGCGGGCACAACTTCTGCCGCGCCTGCTTGAGCTGCTACGGTCAAGGACCCGAGATTAGCGGCACCTCCTGCCCCCACTGCAGAAAAACCTTCGACCATAGGCAAAACATCATCCCCAACCGGCTGCTGGCCAACGTGGTGGAGATCGCGGAGAAGTTCCGACGGGCGGAAGAAAGCCCGGCCGAAGCCAACTTGTGTGAAAAGTACCACCGACCCGTGAAAGTCATCTGTGGGCAACAAACCGTCCTCCACTGTGCCATCTGCGGCCCCACCAAGCCGACCAAGAGTAACCATGGGAGCCCAACCATGCAAAAGACCAACGATACAACTACGGTGAGCAATAAAAATCCTTACTTGTTTGGACCCGGGTTGCTTTTCCCTCCTTTTCAGAACCCCCTGGGAAGGATGGGAGGAAAGAATTGGGGGAAGGTCGCCAATGCGCATGCTCAGGAACAAGGTTGAGCAGTCAATCCTAATTAAGTGATCCGAAGCCGACTGGCTGCAGCTGTTGGCTGGCGAGCCGTTTAAAACGCGATTTAACGGTGATTTATTTTTGCAGCTGTTTGCTTCTTCTTTTTTGTTTAAATCGTAATTAGAAGGTGGTTAGAGGATGCCTTAGGGCTGCGGGACAGAATTGCATTACCTAAAAAAAAAAGTTGCAAATTGCAATCAATTGCATCTCCTTCCCGGCATCAACTGACATTGTTGAGCTAAAAGACACGTGTGGTTGTCACTATTCGGATTATTTTCCCAGTAATAATCCCGTTGTGCGTGCAAGTGAATTTTCTTGGAGAAAATACTCCGCGTTGGTGCTTTCCAAAGAAGGAAATGCACTGCTGGGAAATACATAAGAAACGACTAAGTTTATTAAAAGCACCACCCCCGCCCTCCTCCCCCCCATCGTGGAGAGAGGAGTCTTTTTAAATGGGCATCACAGCACAAAGATCAATGAAGCAGATTGAAGAAACAAAAGGAAGTTTTTCCTTCTCTGCCGCACACGATTTAAAGCGGGGCAGGGTTGATCACGGAGTATTCACTTTACGGTTAAAAAAGACGAGATTGGCAGCGCCAATGCAAAAGATTTGCATTGCAGTTTTGCCTTTATATCACTTGTGATGCTGGTTATTTTCCTGCAAGCCTGATCTAAGAAATCTTGCCATCCATTTTACAAGCGATATTTGGATTTCGAATCTGCTGAATGGAGAATGAAATGAAATGGATCTGATCTACCAAGATAGTTGGTAGTTAAAAAGAGGATTTAGTGGTTGCAATTCTTAAAATACAATGTGTGCTGCTAACTCGACTGAGCCCAAAAGATGGGAGCTGGGCCAATAAGCTAGTTTCTTTTTAAAATATAATGTTGATCATCTGGTAGAAAGGTTTTTAAAAAACAAAAATACCGGTAATCTGAATATTGAAAAAAAAGTAAAGAAAAGTAACAAGCAAGTGTATAAAGAAATGGCTTCTGGTCTTTACCACAGTTTTGAGTCCTGCACTGTACAATTTATATTTTACCTCCTATTTCTCAAGTTACCATGTGATTTCCTCCTTTCCATAGTGTACCTTTTCCTAATAACCAAACCAATAAATCACACCAATAAGATGACTTCCAAAGATAAATTAAATCTTGGTTGTCATTTTCTCCCTAGGAACACACTGACAGGAATACATTGGTGGAGATGCTTAAGGAAGGAAAACAAAATGTGTTGGCACAACAGTCAGACAAAAAGAAGAAAAGCAAGGATTTGCTGGTAAGTGTTCCAATATCTCAGGGGTTGCCACAAAAAAGAGGGAGTCAAAGTATTCTCCAAAACACCTGAAGGCAGGACAAGAAGCAATGGGTGGAAACTAATCAAGGAGAGAAGCAACTTAGAACTAAGGAAAAATTTCCTGACAGTTAGAACAATTAATCAGTGGAACAGTTTGCCTCCAAAAGTTGTGAATGCTCCAACACTGGAAGTTTTTAAGAAGATGTTGGAGAACCATTTGTCTGAAGTGGTATAAGGTTTCCTGCCTGAGCAGGGGTTGGACTAGAAGACCTCCAAGGTCCCTTCCAACTCTGTTATTCTATTCTATTCTATTCTATTCTATTCTATTCTATTCTATTCTATTCTATTCTATTCTATTCTATTCTATTCTGTTATCATCCTTTCTAAGTGAAGGGAAAAATAGAGTTAAAGCCACACTGTGATTAGAAATAGCGACTGGTAAATATGCATTATTGTTATTGTTATTGTTATTGTTATTGTTATTAGGTTGGTGTCAGCTAGCCTGTTGCCTGTTGCCATAGAATAGGTGGGAGGGAACAATGGGGAAGTTTACATTGCAGCTATGCAAGTGCGTAGGCCATCTCCAAGGCCATGTTCCTTAGCTCTGGTATGCTGTGGCCTCTGATTGCCTAGTTACAAGAGGGATATACTTTGTTTGAAGATGCTGTGTTCCAACGTTTTGCCTCAGAGCTTGCTTGAAACAGTCTGCTTTCTGTTTGTGCCCAGTGAAAGGATTAGAGCACACAGAGTGTAACCTAACTCAGCTTTTGATATTCCTGCTGAGCTAAGCTTCATTGTAATCTAATGCATAGATAAAGCTTCCAGGCTAATTGCCAAGCTTAGCCAAAGTATAAGTATAATCTTTATTGTCATTGTACTTAAATACAACAAAATTGGTTTTAACCTCACTGGTGCAAAATTATAAAAAAAGAAAGAAAAAGGGGGAAAAAAACTAGCGTGTTCATGGAGTGATTGTGGTTGTATTTAAAAGTCTCACAGCCCAGAAACTATCTTTAAACCTGTTTGTTCGGTTGGCTATACTGTGATGCTTTCAGCCTGATGGTAGAAGTGCAAAGAGACACTGACCAGGGTGTGAATCATCTCTGAGTATTTTCCTTACTCTGGTAAAGCAGCGACATCTGGCGATGTCCTCCAGTGGTGTCAGAGGGCAACCAACGGTTTCTTGGGCCGAATTGCTCACTCTCTGTAGTGCCTTCCTGTCCGCAGCTGTTAAACCATGCTGTAATACAATATGTGAGGACACTTTCTATTTGTTGTAGCAACATAATGTGAGATAGCACCCCCTAACAAACTCTGGGCTACCATATTTTTTGGAGTATAAGACACACCTTTTTCCCTCAAAAAAGAGGCTGAAAATCTGGGTGTGTCTTATACACTGAATGCAGCATTTTTTGCCTCCCGAAACCCCACCCTCTTCACCAAAATGGCCATGCAGAGCCTGTAAAAATGATTGAAAAACGTGCCATTTTTTGCTCAATTTTGCCACACACCCCCAGTTCCCAGGAGCATTCTATAAGCCGCCTACGGGCTATGCATGCTTTTTTTTTTTTTAACAAAAAACAGGCCTGTTTTCACAAAAAATGGGCCGTTTTTTGCTTATTTTTGCTCCCCCCCCGGAGCACTCTGCAAGCCCCCTAAAGGCTATTCATGTCTTTTTTTAAAAAAAAAAACCAACAGGCCTGTTTTTGGGAGGTCTTTTTTTAATTCGCCTCTTCAAAACCTTGGTGCGTCTTATAGTCCGGTGTGTCTTATACTCCGAAAAATATGGTATATGCCAGAAAATGTATTCATTTTACCACTGGTGGGATTCAAATTTTTTTACTACTAGTTGTGTGGATGTGGTTTGGTGGGTGTGATGTGGCTTGATGGGCGTTGCTTGGGTGTGGCAGGGGAAGGATACTGCAAAATCTCAATTTCCTCCCCATCAGCTGGGACTTGGGAGGCAGAGAATAGATGGGGGCGGAGCCAATCGGAGGTGGTATTTACCGATTCTCCAAACTGGATTTCAGCGGTTGTTGTTGTTGTTGTTATTATTATTATTTCATAATGGAAAGGGAGAAGAGTTAAAATCAGGACAATTGATTTATTGCTTTTGCTATCTCTGAATCCCCAATTTTAGCTCTACCCGTTCCATACTTGCAGCCCTTTTTTGACGATTTATCTATTATTTGTTTATCTATTTCTTCAGAGACAAATAAAAGCGGAGCGAGCAGAGGCGACATCTCTGTTCAAAGATCTCCACCACTTCCTGGAAGAGCAAGAAAAACAATTCCTGGCCCAGATGGTAGAAGTAGAGGAGGAGATTACCAGAAAAAGAGATTCCTTCATGTCTTTCTTTTCCCAGGAACTTTCACTCTATGAAACGATCATCCAGAAGATACAAACTTCTCAGCAGCCCAACAACGCTCTCTTTAAGGTAGAGTTCTTTGGTGCTTTTCCTTGTTGCCATTTCAAGGAAAGGTTAAGGTTGCTTTCATTCTACATTGCTGTGCAGGTAGGCCCTGACATACAGCCATAACGGAGCAGTGGCGGGTTCTGGATCCCGTTGCAACCAGTACACTGCAACAGGGATGGGAGTCTGCCACGTGCATGCGCACAGCACACGCACAGTGTGCACATGTGTACTTACAGCCCGCGACGCTCCAACTGCTTGGCGGAGTGTCACGCAGGCGCTGTATGTGCCATGTGCGTCAGCTCAAATACAGGTAAGGAGGGTGGGCGGGCACTGTACTGGAACAGCACCTGGTGCTCCCAGCAGGCACTAGTACATCCGTAACGGGGCGTAGTGGTCATATCCCACCACTGTAACGGAGCCTGCACATTACGTTCATAAGTCATAACTGCTGTAAAATAAACTCAAATCTGAGTTTATGACCTTTTTTCTGGCGGTTGTTTAGCAAATCACCATGGTTGTTAAGTGAATCCACATCATGAGTTGAATCAATGGTTTGCTACGGTCTGGGTGGTGCCAGAATCTGGAAGTTAAATATCAGTTTCGGCAAAACTTTAGCACAGGTAGTTCTCGGCTTAACGATCACAGTTACGGCCAAAATTGATGTTGCTAAGTGAGACATTTGTTAAATGAGCTTTGGCCCCATTTTACGACCTTTCTGGCCACAGTTGTTAAGTGAATCACTGCAGTTGTTAAATTAGTAGCACAGTTGTTAAGTGAATCTGGATTCCCTATTGACTTTGCTTGTTAGAAGGTCATAAAAGGAGATCACAGGACCTTGGGACACAGGTTACCTGAGGGAGCGTCTCTTGCTGGTCACATCTACCCCGACCCCTCAGAGTAGGTAGGCAAGGAATATTCAGGGTCCCATCCCTGAGGGAGATATACCTGGTGGGACCCAGAAGAAGGGCCTTCTCTGTGGTGGCTCCCTCTCTCTGGAACATCATTGCTCCAAAGATTAGAATCGCCCCCACTCTAGCACTCTTCTGGAAGGCGTTGAAGACCTGGTTCTGCCAGAGGGCTTAGGGAACCCAGAGCGATATGGAGCTCATTAATTGGCTCATGTGAGGTGCTGTTGCTGGAGCAGGGGAGGGGTGAGAGGTGGGGGTGTTTTTTGTTATATTGTACTATATTAATTTATTTTTGTTAGTTTTTTATTGTTTTAAATGTGGTTTTATATTCTGTAAGCCGCCTTGAGTTGCCATGGGCGAATAGGCTACAAAATAAATCCAATAAATAAATAAAATAAATCCTAAGTATGAACCAGTTGCCAAACATATGAATTTTGATCGCATGATCATGGGGATGCTGCAAAGTCCGTAAGTGTGAAAAATGGTCATAAGTAGCATTTTTTCCCCCCAGTGACATTGTAACTTCGAACGGTGACTAAATGAAGTGTTGTAAGTCGAGATTCTATCTGGGGCCTCCAGTTTGTCATTTCTTTTTTTTTTTCTTCTTCTTCAAAGTGATTTTGCTGAATGCATTATATCCTTGTTTACTGCCCAGAGTTCTTTTGGTAGTTAGATGGCCCTTTAAATTTCATGAATGAATGAATAAGCGAATGAACGAATGAAGAGTTTACTTGCCATAAAATTCAGTACCAGCAAAAGCTATGACAGAATTCTTTCAATTCCTACTCATGGCATTACTTATTTTCTTTCTCTTCTCCCTCCAGGAAATCTTAAAAAGCTTCCAGAGGTATGTAGATCACATCTTTCCATTCCCCATTTATTATTATTTATTTTATTTTATTTATTATTTATTTATTTTATTTTATTTATTATTATTTATTTTATTTTATTTATTATTATTTATTTTATTTTATTTATTATTATTTATTTTATTTTATTTATTNTATTTTATTTTATTTATTATTATTTATTTTATTTTATTTATTATTATTTATTTTATTTTATTTATTATTATTTATTTTATTTTATTTATTATTATTTATTTTATTTATTTTATTATTATTTATTTTATTTATTTTATTATTATTTATTTTATTTATTTTATTATTATTTATTTTATTATTATTTATTATTATTTATTTTATTTTATTTATTATTATTTATTTTATTTTATTTATTTTTATTATTTATAATTTATTTTTATTATTTATTATAATTTATTTTTATTATTTATTATAATTTATTTTTATTATTTACTATTTATTTTATTTATTATTTATTATTTCAGATAGTCCTCGACATACGACCTCCATTGGGCCCAAAATTTCTTTTTTTAAGTGAAACATTTGTTAAGTGAATTTTGCCCCATTTTACGACCTTTCTTGCCACAGCTTTAAAGTGAATCTCTGCAGTTGTTAAGTTAGTCACACGGCTCTTAAGTGAATCTGTTTTTCCCCGTTGACTTTGCTCATCAGAAGGTTGTAAAATGTGATCACCTGATACTGACACCTTGCAACCGTCATAAATATGAGTCAGTTGCCAAGCATTCAAATTTCGATCCTGTGATTAAGGGGGATTCTGCAACAGTCGTAAGTGTGAAAAACAGCCATAAATAACTTTTTTCAATGCTGTTGTATCGTTGAACGGTCACTAAATGAAGTGTTGTAAGTTGAGGACTACCTGTAGTGAAAGGGATATCACTGCACCTACCATTGGTCGTCCACATTCATTCTAAGCAAGGAGACCCTTAGTGGCATATTTTGCGCAGCATTGAACTCCGGTTCCTTTGCAACAACGGAGCAGAGCAAAACCAGAAGTGTCTATTCATGATGATGGGCATATGTGGCCGCTAAAAACCTTGGATGTTGCTAAAGGTCTGTAGAGATTCTCAGTCATCCAGGTCATGGTTGTCCCAAAGATGCTTTTTCAGGAGACAACTGAACTTTCTTGGGGCTTTTTTGAAGGCGTTTCGCTTCTCATCCAAGAAGCTGATTCAGCTCTGGCAGGATAGTGGCGAATGGAAGGATTTATATTCCTTGCAGACAGCTGGTCATTTGCATCTTTTTAGAGGGTCATTGAAGCACTTGGAGGTTTATCTGTGTCCTTAGGCTCACCTGAGTAGTGCAAATGGTTCCTGCCGTCTGCTATTTTGGTCTCTGGAAATCCATTCCTGCTCCCTCACCATTCAAAGGGTGTCCATCCCAAATTGTATAGCTAAAACCCTGTAGAGATTCTCAGTCATCCAGGTCATGGTTGTCCCAAAGGTGCTTTTTCAGGAGGCAACTGGACTTCCTTGTTTTTACGTTGGAAGACGTTTCGCTTCTCACCCAAGAAGTTTGACCAGCTCTGACTCTTGACAACTGGATGAGAAGCGAAACGTCTTCAAAAGGAAAAACATGAAAGCAATTAAATCAACATTCATTTTTGTCCTGGCTTCATGGTTACAGTTGTCCTACTCAAAAACTGAATACGGCCCTTGGCTTGGGAAAAGCCAGACACCACAAATGGAGGCAAATATAGGTGTCTCAGGATAATGTTGCAGGATCCAATCTGGGTGTAGGTCCTTGGGGCCAAAGGTTTAGTCTTTTGAGCTTTTGGACTCATGCTGAAGCCCATCCTCAGGGAACGTCTCTCTCATCAGAATGTATACCTGTGTAGAGAGACATTCCCTGAGGATGGGCTCCAGCACAAGTTCCAAAACTTGGAAGACTAAACCTTTGGCCCCTGCAACCGATCCAGATTGAATCCTGCAAAGTTGCACACTCTTCATTTGGGAAAAAATAGTGGGTGAGATGATGTTATTGTACCCCAAGTTGCAATAGATAACTATTACTAGGGCAACATTGGCAAGAATAGTAATAGCGCTTAGACTTATATACCGCTTCATAGTGCTTTTACAGCCCTCTCTAAGTGGTTTACAGAGTCAGCATATTGCCCCCAACAATCTGGGTCCTCATTTTACCCACCTGGGAAGGATGGAAGGCTGAGTCAACCTTGAAGAAGCTCTGTTGATGATAGTCATTATTTAAAATGTCTTCTGCATTTAAGAAAAGAGGAAGAAACTGGAATTTGTTTACTTCCGGAAAATGTTGTGCTACTCAGAAATCTTCTCCCCAAAACATCTTCTGCTCTTCGTCTTTTGCTATACTGCTGGTGCCTTAAGATTCTGTTGTTTCTTTCCAACCTATGCAAGGGAATTTTTGATGGGGCAGACCGAAAGTTTCATTGTTTCATTTCTCTAGTGAAGAAAAGATTACAGACCGTCCATCTTTCCAACCTGCCCTGAAATGGAGAATTTGGGACTTCTGTGATATCAATCACACCTTGAAAGAAATCACAAAACGCTTTAAAGGTAATACATGAAGATTTTATGCCAACTTCCCCAACCTCCCAGTTGATGAATTGCAAGATTTTTGTTGAGGGCAGCAGTGAATTTGCTAAGACATTCCGAGAGTTCACACAGATTTAAAAATTTGCTCTGCTTATATGTGGCTGAACCTCACCAAGACTCCATGGAAAACTGATTTCAGCATTAAAAAAAACCAATTGAGTGATAAGAGGCACACAAATAAATATCTGTAAAATTAACTGAGTGGTATGCTTCATGTTATTGTCATAATATCAATGTTGTACATGATAGAGCAATGCTTTCCTATTGTCTTTTCAGATACTTGGTTATCTGGCCTTCAGCTGCAGAAAGGTAAACCTGGGGAAGGGGAATTGATGAAAAAGATGTAATTAATAGTGAATTATAATAACCAACAACATTGGGGGAATAACAGAGTTGGAAGGGACCTTGAAGGGAAGGCTCATCTCTGGCATCCTACATGATTGCTAGGCCAGACTGATTGACGCTGGGCTTCCTTGCTTTTGTTAAGGTCTTCAAAGGAACAGTAGTATTAAAGGAAAGCTCATCCTTCAGAATAACTCTTTGAAGATTACCTCCCTTCCCAGCTCCTCTGCCCTTTCCATATGCTCCAATGTGAAGGGGAGATCCCCGATTCCCTCACTGAAACCAGGCCAAATACCATGTTTCCCTGAAAACGAAACACAACTGGAAAATAAGCCCTTGTGTGATTTTTCAGGATGCTTGTAATATTTTTGCCCCACCTTTGGCGTCACAATTATTAAGTGAATCACTGCAGTTGTTAAGTTAGTAATTGGTTGTTAAGTGAATCCAGCTTCTCCCTTTGTTGTCAGAAGGTCACAAAAGGGGATCACATGAAGGCATTTCAAGGGTCTAACCCAGTGGTGGGATTCAATTTTTTTTACTACCAGTCTTGTGAGCTGGAGGACGTGGCTTGGTGGCATGTCATGGGAAGGATACTGTAAAAGCTCCACTTGCTCCCGATCATCTGGGACTCGGGAGGCAGAGAATAGATGGGGAAGGAGCCAGTCAGAGATGGTATTTATCAATTCTCCGAACTACCCAAGATTTCCACTACCGGTTCTTCAGAATTGGTTACACATAGAGAGACAGAAGAGTTTTAGAAGTATAGAGATCAAAATGGCAGACTAAATGAACAATATGTCTCAAGTCAGGCCTATTATCTTTAGCATCAATTTGCTTTCTGGTTCAAAACAATCTATAAAAATAAAAAAGACTAATTAAAAAAAACCAATCTGAAGTGTCTTCTTAAAGGCCTCTATGTTAGCCACACCCTCCATCTGAGACAAAATATGTTCAGAACAGTGGTGGAAATTCAAAATTTTTTACTACCGGTTCTGTGTGTGTGTCTTGGTGGGCATGGCTTGGCTTAGTGGGCGTGGCAGGGAAACCATACTGTAAAATCCCTATTTCCTTCCCACTCCAGGGGAAGGATACTGTAAAATACCCATTTACTCCCAATCAGCTGGGACTTTGGAGGCAGAGAATAGATGAAATGGGGGCTCACTTCACCTCCAGGGGGAGAATACAGGTCGTTCTCGACTTACAACAATTCGCTTAGTGACTGTTCAAAGTTACAACAGCGCTGAAAAAAAAGGGACATTACATTTTTTTGTACTTGTGACCGTTGCGGAGACTCCAGAGTCAAGTGATTTACTTTCAGAGGCTTGGCAACTGATTCGTATTTATGATGATTGCAGTGTTTCAGAGTCATGTGATCCTCTTCTGACAATGGGGAAATCAGATTTACTAAGTTAAATTTAACAATTGCAGTGGTTTACTTAATACATATGGCAAGAAAAATGGGATAAAACTGATTTAACAAATTTCTCACTTAGCAACATCAATTTTGGGTTCAATTGTGGTCGCAGGTTGAGGACTATCTGTATTCTCTTCCTGGACCTCGCTAGTTGGCATTCTTTTAGCTGATGGGGTTCAAAACAACCTTTGCTTGACCGAGACAGATTGACATAATGGGATGAGACAGGTTGACATAATGGGATGATGTTACTTCTGGTCTCAGCTTTATGGTTGAGCTAGTTTTGAATGCTGTCTGTTGTTTTCTTTGTGATTTTGTATTTCATGCCAATGAATTGTATACTGTTAGTCCTTGTCTTACTACCATTCATTTAACAATATTCTGAAGTTACAATGGTCTTAGAAAGAGTGCTTTATGGATTGTAAAGCACTTCCAACTATTGCAAATGTTGCAAAATGTTACACACACCCCCCCCCCTCCCTACAAACACACCGCCCCTGATGTTACGGGATCAGTATATGTGCAGGGCAACAGAAGAAGACAAAGCCGATCAGCTGCGACTCCGATCAGCTGGAACTTGGGAGGCAGAGAATAGATGGGGGCAGGGCCAGCCAGAGGTGGTATTTGCCGGTTCGCTGAACTACTCAAAATTTCCGCTATCAGTTCGCCAGAACTGGTCAGAACTGGCTGAATACCACCTCTGCTTTTAACTGAAGGAGTATTTGATTCATGTGATTTTGTTTTTAGGGTTGGGTATTTCTATTCCAGATTAAAGCTACTTTGCTTCACTTTCTTGATCTTCTTCCTCTCTCCATGAACAGCAAACATAACCCTGGATCCAGACACAGCTCATCCTCAACTCACCCTGTTCCTGGATGGCAAAACAGTGGAACTAGGCGAACGTTGTCAAGAATTGCCCAACAACCCTGCAAGATTTGACTTTCTGTCTGTGGTGTTGGGACGTGAAGAATTCAAGGGGGGGCGGCATTTCTGGGAAGTCAACGTAGAGAGTCAGAAAGAATGGGCAGTGGGGATTTCTCTGAAGAGTGTGAAAAGGAAGGATTCGTTCTCCTTGAATACAGCAGAAGGGATCAGTATGTTGGGAAGATGGCGTGGTGATTACAGGTTCTCCCTCCCACCTAATCCTCTTCCTCACATCCCGGACAAGAAATTTAAAAAAATCCGGGTGTGTCTAAACTGTGCTGTGGGGAAGATTTCATTTTTTGATGCCGAGACTGGAATTCTGCTCTATTCAACAACCTCCTTTCCAGGAGAGGTCGTCCTTCCCTTCTTTTGGCTGGGATCATACGCCCAGCTCAGCCTCTGCCAATGAGCCCTTCCAGTGGGGCCCCTGTAAGAATTCCAGATGTTGGCACCAACCCTTGTTTCCTTTTTTGGCAGTTGGGTTTCCTCGATGTTCAGGAAGAATGCATCACACACGCACACACACAATAAAGCAATACAGAGCAGAGCTGAGGTGGTGCAGTGGTTAGAGTTAGCGGTGGGATTCAATTTTTTTTACTACCGGTTCTGTGGGTGTGGCTTGGTGGCAGAGGTGGGTTCCTAACAGTTCGCACCAGTTCGGTAGAACCGGTTTGTCAAATCTACCAAACTGGTTAGAAGAGGTTCCACCAGAAAACAGGCCACACCTACAGAAGAGGTTCCAAATTTTTTTGAAACCCACCATTGACACACAAACACACACACACACACACACTCACAAACAGAGAGAAAGAGAAAGAAAGAAAGAAAAAAAAAGAAAGAAAAAGTGAGAGAGAGATGAAAGAAAAAAAGGAAAAAGGGACAGAGACAAAAGGAAGGGGAGAGAGAGAGAGAGAGAGGAGGGAGAGAGAACACATGGCTGGCAAGCGACTCCCAACAGGTCACATGGCTGGCAAGCCACTCCCACAAAGGAGGCCACACCCACAGAGTAGGTTCGAAATTTTTTTGAAACCCACCACTGCTTGGTGGGCATAGCAGGAGAAGGACACTGTAAAATCCCCATTCCCTCACAATCAGCTGGGACTCGGGAGGCAGAGAATAGATGGGGGCGGGGCCAGTCAGAGGTGGTATTTACAGGTTCTTCGAACTACTCAAAATGTCCGCTACTGGTTCTCCAGAACTGGTCAGAACCTGCTGAATACCACCTCTGGTTAGTGTGCGTACTGCAGGCTACTTCTGCTGACTGTTGACTGCCTGCAATTTGGCAGTTCCAATGTCACCCGGCTCAAGGTTGACTCAGCCTTCCATCCTTCCGATGTGGTTAAAATGAGGACCCAGATTGTTGGGGGGCGGGGGGCGAACATGCTGGCGTTGTAAAATGCTTAGAGAGGGCTGTAAAGCACTGTGAAGCAGTATAGAAGTCTAAGTGTTATTGGTATTACTGGTAGTCCTCGACATACGACCATCGGTTTAACAACAAATTAAAATTATGCTGAAGAAAGTGATTTAGAACCTGTCCTCAGAGTTATCCCCATTGCACTACCCCCTGTAGTCATGTGATTGTGATTTGGGCACTTGGTAACTGGCTTGCATTTACTGTATAATCATTGCCGCATTTGGTAGTCAAGGGATCCCAATTTCCAATATTCCTAGCTGACTTTTGACAAGGAAAGTCAATAGGGGAAATCGGGATCGGCTTAACATGATTTGGTGAATGACCCTGGCAAAAACAGGTTTTAAAATTAGATGTGGTCACATGATGTCTTGTTTATGGCCATGTCACTTAATGATGAATTTTCTGGCCAATTGTCATAAGCTGAGAACCATGTGTAATATAATTTATTTGTTTTAAGCATATTGTGTTACCGGTAGCCTACTGCCCAGTACTAATAACTGGACAGATTCCCTGTTAACAAATCCAAATCACTTCTATACCTATACATTTTTTTTGAGCATTCTTTAAGGCATCTCCCCTAACTCCATACAGTGCATCATTATTTGATTAAAGATAGCAAATGCCATTCCTGGATAGCAAACCCAATCAAGATTGTAATTTTTTTTAAAAAAAAATGCTATTAACGATAAAACCAGAATATCTTTATATTCCAGTGATGGATTAAAAAAAAAACCCTATATAGTTGTGTAATAGAATTTGTAGCAGTCAAACATGCATACATAATATAAAGGATTAAATTATGGCAAAACAAAAGGAAAAATGGATTAGTGAAATGCAATTGGTAGAGGGCAGAAAGGTGAAATACTTAAGACCAATCACTACGTTATTCGAGTGTTTTGCAAAATGCGCAAAAAAACAACAACCCCATACAAAGTAGAAGAATAAACTTTTTAAGACCGAATTGCCAAATTACATCTATTGTTTTTTTTTACTCAGGTTAATTAATAATTCCATGGCCCAAAAATGAAGGCAGAAAGAAAGCCTATACTGTATAAACTTCAATATAGTAATAATGATCTGACATCCATTAAATGTCCTCTCTCATATTGACTCAGGTTTTAGAAGTTCTATTCCCATTAATAAACGTCCCCTCGCCATCTCAATTGCCAACTTAATTCTCATTCATGTACTAAATATTTAGAAGTTCTGAAAAGGAAAGTATTCTGGGCAGGTTCCCTGGGCTTTGCAACCTCCATTCATTAGCACCCTCTGCTGGCTACCTGAAATTGTCATGGTCCTAATCAGCTTCACCGGTAAAGCAGGAATGTCCAACCACTTGACTTGCCAGAAGAGGAATTGTCTTCAGACACCTGTGAAATGTGTAATATAGTTAATGTATATTAATTCATGGGACGCGGTGGCTCAGTGGCTAAGACTCGGAAAGGTTGGCAGTTCAAAACCCTAGTGCCGCGTAACGGAGTGAGCTCCTGTTACTTGTCCCAGCTTCTGCCAACCTAGCAGTTCCAAAGCACGTAAAAAATGCAAGTAGAAAAATAGGAACCACCTTTGGTGGGAAGGTAACAGCGTTCTGTGCGCCTTTGGCATTTAGTCATGCCAGCCACGTGGTGATGGAGAGGTCTTCGGACAGTGCTGGCTCTTCGGCTTTGAAACGGAGATGAGCACTGCCCCCTAGAGTCAGGAACGACTAACACATATGTGCAAATGGAACCTTTACCTTTACCTTTATATTAGTTCATAATTTTAAATGTTTATGATATTGTGGGATGTCATTAATAGATGTCCAAGGTGGCATGAGGTTGATGGACCATGGTTTGGATGCACCTCCCCTAAAGACTTCCTTTAGCTTCCTAAGTGCCTGGGAGCAAGCAAGTACAGGCATTCCTTGATTTACAACAGTTCATTTAGTGACAGTTAGAAAGTTACAACAGCACTGAAAAAAGTGACTTATGACTGTTTTTCACACTTATGACCATTGCAACATCCCCACGGTCACGTGATTTGCAATTGGATGCTTGACAAATGGTTCATATTTATGACATGTTCCGTGATCACACAATCCCCTTTTGCAACAAGCAAAGTCAGTGGGGGAAGCCAGGTTTACTTAACCACCATATTACTAATTTGACCACTGCAGCAATTCACTTAACAAATGTGGCAAGAAAAAGTCGTAAGATGGGTGGTGGGGGGAACTCATTCAATGCATTTCTTACTTAGCAACATAAATTCTGGGCTAAATTGTCATAAGTCAAGGACTACCTGTAGACAATTCTAAGACATTCCTTTTAATGTGAATCGTTCATTGTGTGCTTGCTTTTACTCTCTTGTAATTTCTTCCTTTTCTGTGAGTGTAAATATACTGTATTTTTTGGACTATAAGACACATCTTTATGTTGGTGCATCTTATATACCTCATACAGCAATTTTTGGCCTCCTGAAGGCCCCCCCCCGCATCCATTTTTTGCAAAAATTGGGCCATTTTTTGCAAAAATTGAGGCCTTTTTTGCCTTCCTTCAGCTCCCAGCAGCCCTCTGCAGGCTTCAGCAGGACTGGGGCAAGGCAAAAATGCCCTTGTTTTTGTGAAAAATTGGCAGTTTCTCACAAAAATGGAGGCTTTTTTGACTTCCCTCAGCCCCCAGCAGCATTTTTCAGGCTTCAGCAGGGCTGGGGGGCATTTTTGCCTTGCCCCAGCCCTGCTGAAGCCTGCAGAGTGCTGCTGGGGGCTGAGGGAAGGCAAAACCTTTTTTTCTAACTTACCTCTTCGAAATCTTGGTGTGTCTTATACACTGGTGCGTCTTATAGTCTGAAAAATATGGTAAGTATTTCCTTTTGCTACAGTAGTTCAGAACTGAGATGGGATGCTGTAGAATGGCAGAAAAGGAAAAAGGGCTATGAAATTTATTCCCCTTTCCCAACTTCCTTTGTAGTGGCAAACTTGCCTCCAGAAGTTGTGAATGCTCCAACACTGGAAGTTTTATAGAAGATGTTGGATAACCATTTGTCTGAAGTGTAGGGTTTCCTGCCTAAGCAGGGGGTTGGATTAGAAGACCTCCAAGGTCCCTTCCAACTCTGCTATTCCATTCCATTCCATCCCATCCCATCCCCATCCCCCTCTCCCTCCCCATTCCATTCCATTCTTTCCTTCTCCTATTCCTATTCCTATTATGATGTGATGCCTGAAACACAATATATTTTGGGTTCAGCAATTTTCAGCTGGCTGTGGAATTCTGGGAGTTGAAATCCACACATATGAAAGTTGCCAAGCTTGAGGAACACTGATCTACCTACTAGCGAGTAGACACTTAATGTCCTGTGAGAATTGGAAGTGGAGCAAAGATGGCGAAGGCACTTCTGTGTTTGCACAGGGCAGCCAAAGAGTAGGAGCTACAGAAATAACTTCGATTACATCACTGGATAAAAAGCAATGAGGACATTTTAAATCTCTGCTTATGTCACTAGTGGTGTCATCTGAGCTGCACTTTGAGACGGTAGTCAGCCCTATCCAAGTATAGTGAATGAGGAGCCTCTAAATAAAGGGCTGATTTAGTGCATTTTGAAGTGAAGTAGGCATGGGTTTAACATGATCAAACTTTAACGTAGTACTTAAAACTTAAGCCGAAGTCTCAACAAGTCAGGAGTTAATTATGTTTGCTGTCTCTTCCAGCCCAGAGAGGGAAATTAACCTCATGTCACCCCACCCCCCAGTGTCCGCTGTCTATGCTGTTCTCTCAATGATGATCTTTGGGAAAATCCTTGAGGATTTGGCAAGCGAAGAGATGAAGTGTTCTCCATGATTTTCATAATTGCATGCGAGAAACATGGGGTGGACTGCAGCTGTGGCAAGATGTGCCACCAGGATTAAAAGTTTAAGCAAAATTTAGTGAAGCAGCTGGAGAGTTCAGTCACCTGGAAATAGTCAATGAGGGAGAAATTTGGCACCGGATAATGGTAAAATACCAGAAAGATAGTGAATTAAACCCCAGAAGGCATAATGGGTAAACATCAAGCTGCGTTAGTTAGTGATGCCTGCATATTGTACAGATCTGCATATTCTCAGCGGAATCAGCCTGATGCAAGACAAGCCATGCAAACAATGTCAGCCTAAAGTCCTAAATCATCCCCCTTTCCCTTAGTCTTTTTTAAAT